TGCACCCATTATCCAATTCAAGCAAGTGTTGAAAGCTGTTGGTGCAATGATGCAGCCCAGCCTCAATCCTGAATTCCAGGAAAAAAGCTAGACAGGCCTAAGCCACAATGTAAAACACTTTAAGCATTAGGATATAGGCTTGCTACCAAACTAATAATCAAATAAGTCTCACAATCTCCCAGACTGATTCCCAAAGCATATAATGAAATACTTTTTTGAGGTTGATTTTGGCTGTTACCATCCTACTCATAACAGTGCACTGCAATAACTCAAACCTCAAAAGGCTTGTGCTTCAAAAGGATGTGGTTTTTAATGCTTCTCAGAAAGATGGGATTGAGCAAATTGCCTGGCATGCTGAGTAGTGTAATGTCCAGAGACTGATGACCATACCCACAGCAGGACAAGAGGAAGTATCAGAGTGCCAGACAGCAACTTGGAGAGCATGGGTACACATCCAAACTTTACCAGTTCAGCAGTGATGCTCCAAATACCAACTGCTTTACCATCCTTTAGCTTGGACACCACATTCCTAAATTCTCTCAGGGTTATGAGGTTCCTAACTGATATGGGTATCACGCACAGGATCATAACACCAGCTATGTTTATACTAAACTTAAAGTGCTTTCAAACCCCAACATGATCTCTGCAAGATTGTTGATATTCAGTTACTTGTTCCTACTTAGCTATATCTATCTCCTTCATTCCAGGGATTAATGTAAGTTCTGATCTCCAATCACTCAAGGAGTCTGGCATGCATCTATGGCCTGTAACACTCCCTGCAAGGTAAGTTCTGCATTGTTCTTAGGCAGTCACAAGTGGATTCCTGCACTGCATCAAGCAATACATGTCTGAAGATGGCCCACAGTGCTACAATGTCCCTTGAGTTGTCAAGATCTGCGAATTTATTAAACACTGTCATGAGAAACCCTAAACACACTCATCCTCCCTGAAAGTGGAACAACCTAAATGTAACTGGATGGTCATGGATACAGTGGGAGGTAACGATTATGGAACTGACTATACTCTGGTAAACCCTATTATTCTGGAGGAAACTACACTGGCTGCTGACAGTGCTGACACAGGTCAAGCAATCCAGACTGGAATGTTGATACCAAGAGCTAAATGAGTAGGCCTACTCCAGTCTCAGCACCATTAAATACTCAGCAGCTGGAGCTGCCTCTAATACAAAGGCTGAAGCCTACTGAAGGTGGCTATGGCTGCCCCTTGGAGATGGTGACCATTGCTTGACTTATCATAAGTGAAGCCAGCCCCCCCCCCCCATGAGAAGGCCATTTCAGTTTTCTAAAAAATAGTGGCAATTAATCATGTAAACAGCAGTTGTTCCACAGCCCCAACCTTCCTACAATGTGAGCAACAGCAAAATTTTGAGAAGAAATGTACTTTTTGATTACATTTTTAATGGTATAAATAAGAGGATGAGGAGCAGAAATAATAATCTGCCTCCTTCATGTGAAGCAATAAGTATGCAAATGTTTCTGATATGGCATCTGACACTGAAGATACAAATAGAAAACAAATGCATGTGCTCAACACATGCAAATCTCTCTTCTGTTGTCACTAACTTTTAACTAATATGAGATATGATCAAATATTGAGCACTTCCATTAATATATATTTAGTTATAAACTCTAATGCTTTAAGTAAATTCAAGAGTCATTGACACCTAAATATCAGAAAGGTTACAAGTTTGTTGGCTTTAGGTAACTAAAATACAATCACTGAACTTTTTACATAATAAATTATTCAAAACTTACAGCATAAATATCTTGGAACCCATTTGAGGTCCCATTTGATCTATGGCATTTGAAGGTAAAGTTGTCGCGTGGTGAAGCTGCAACTATGTACTGAATGGCAACTCTGCCCTCAACACTTCCAAGTGCAAAACCAGCTGGAGCTCCAGAGCCTTTCTTATCTTTGAAAATAGCAACACAACGGTGCTGAAAGAAATAAAATGGTGAAAATATGTAAAAAAAATTTAAAAAAATAAAAAATAAAATAGCAATAATACTGCCTATGACAGGGATTTTCAACCATTCTAGAAGCACATCACTCTAAAGCTTTTGATGAATGCTATAAAAAAAAGTCTGAAGTGTTTAATGACCACTTTTATATAAACAACAGCTTTAATATAGTAAAATCTCATTTACATCATACATGGAAGAAAGAAAGTTTTTTCCCTAAATATTACAAGCAATAAAAATGTTGCACAGATCTTACCTATTTAATTTCAGTTTAGTTATTTTGCAATTCAACAATTAACAATTTTCAAAATTCCAAACATTACATCTTATCAAAAATGTCAAGTCTGCTAAAAGCAGAGTAAAAAATAAAAGTCCTGCATTGACATAGGTATTATCATAAGCAACAAAAAGTGCTATAATACATATAATTTTGTATATAAACAGAAAGAAAATGGCTTGAGGTAACAACTCTCCTATTTTGCAAAATAGGTGGACAATGTTTCTTTACAGTTCATGTATCAGAAAAAAAAAAAAATACAAGAAAATATTTTTCAGGACAAAATCTTCAAAGTACTAACTGTATTGTGCCCCTTTTATAGCACAAAACTTTCCATGAATTGTTAAGTTACACGTGGAAAAAAAGCTTTTTTTCTTTTCTTTTCTCAGGATGGCCCCCATCTAGAGGAATGGGATACTATGTGAAGGGAACTGAGGATAGAATGGTGGGTATAATAGTTTCTGGTGGCTTGAAGAAAAGGTTTAATGGAAGAGAAGCCATGTAGACACAGGAAAAGGCCCAAAAGAGTTAGAGATACTGGGATGAGGGGTGGAATATTTCTTTGCGGGCCTTGAAGCTGGTGGCAGCAAGGCCCACAAAGAAATATTCCACGCCTCATCCCAGTATCTCTAACTCTTAAGGCCCAAAAGAGTTAGAGATACTGGAATGAGGCATGGAATATTTCTTTGCAGGCCTTGAAGCTGGTGGCAGCAAGATACCAAACAGTATCAGTTATACATATCTATCCTCCCATCTTATTCACACTGATACAGAAGTGGGAAAACAGACACCCAGAGTTTTAAAACCTGATGCTGATGCTTCAATGAAGCAATGTGGTTTTAAGAAGCAATTTATTAATCTGTTCAATTGATGGGATCTGGACTTTGGGAGTTAATATAATAAAATGTCAATAAATGAGAATGAAAAATTACTATATACGAGAAAAATGCATATCTAACCTTTCATTTTTACACATCATTCAAATCTATATCATCACTCTTACATGTGCCCTTAGGTGACTTTAACAGCACTCACAATAATCAGACATAAAAAAATTATATAAATCTTTTGTCAATAAAAAAATTAAATTCAAGAGATTTTTCAACAAGATCTTGGCTGTGATATGAAACTCATTAAACAAATAACTATCATCTGCATGTCCTTAAAGACAGAGGTAACAAATCCATATAAATCACAGAGCATACTGCAAAGACATATCAAAATGAAGAATGTAGAGATGGGTAATGGCAAATACTTATAAAGGATACAAAAATTAGTCCTCATACCTGGTACTTGAGTGGGGATTCAATCTGCTTGAATTCCTGTGGCTGTCCCTCAAGCTGGTAGACAATTAGGTGCCTGTTGGCAGTTCCTACAACTGCCATTGGATACTCAACATCAGCACAGTAGCATCGCTCAGGTAAATTTATGGTCATGATGGGCTGTGGGTTCCGTAAATCCCAGAACTGGAAGGATATGTTAATCAATTATTCAGTCAAAGTTTCTTACTTGTAGCTACTAAAATAATGAAGCTGATCTCAGCATTAGCTGAAATTAGATGCAATCTTTCCTCTTCTATTCTTCTAAAAATGAAAGATTCTATTCAACCCTTTAGAAGAGGCACGTGATATCAGGGTTATTCCCTATGAGGGTCAAAATATAAAAAACAACAAACTTTCTTTTCAAAGAATCTGGAGAACTTACCAAACAACAAACAATGATTTCTATTCAAAATGTCTCTTGGCAATATATTCATACTTTTCTTCGAAAAGCATTATACACAGAAATAAATAGAACATTTTATAGGGAAGGGAAAATGTTTACACAAAACATCATACAAGGCAAAGGTAAAGCATTTATGACTTAAAACTTTGGAATAAATTAAATAGTAAAGGTATAAATAGTAATAAAGATGGACCATAGTAACCAGCAGATCAGTAGAAATATAGTGCAGTCAATAATACTATATCAGAGATAAATAATAAAACTAACAACTTTGGATACAACTTTATGCCAAACTCCCTTCAGGGAGTTGATATTATATCCCTTCAAGGATGTAATATCACACCACCTGCTGGATAACCTGATGGCATTGGGAATGGCAGTAGTTATCAAGGAATATTTTGGCTTGTGCTGGGTAGGCTATAGCTATAGCTTTATTCTGGCATTGATGCTCATGACAGGTATGTCCATCATGATGGAATACTTGTCTAATGGACTGTTTTTATTTTTTTGGTAATTTTTACATTATCCTTGCCTAATGACATCATGTCAAGTGAAGTTACATTTTCATATAACATTATTTTCTATGCCCTTTCAGAAGATATTACATTAGATTTCACCTCCTTTTATGTCACGTTACATATCATATCACGTGACCTGACATGTCATCCATCCCATGACCTACTGGAGCACATTGAGTAACCTCATTGACCATAAAAACATATAAAAAGGTGAGCACAAAGGTGCTCTTGAAAATCTCAGTCTTTCCTGGTTATCCAACCACTCTGTTTTGTGGACGATGAGACAGTGGACAACCCCAAACCTTCAACCCCTAGAAATGCACCTCAGCTTCTTCTCTATCTGTCAATGATGCCCATCATAAGACAAACGATACGGCTAAGAAAAGGCTCCAAATACAAGCACATAGTAAAAATAGTTGTAACCATTTTCTGTAAACTGTCTGCCCAAGCACACTGAAACTACTCAAGGCAGGATGGCTGGAATGGCCACACACCGTGAATGTCTTGGCAGAAAGCAGGCAGCTGTTTGCAATTCCTGGGAAGAGTGCCAGACAACCAATTCTCCACCTGTCACCATCAGGGTAAGGGTGAACACTGATTGTACTATCACTATCAATTACAAAATAATGTGAATGGTACTGGTAAAAATAATAGTAGAGATAATGATAACAATGAGTATTTCTTTTTTCAAGCAAGATTGTATGTGCCCATCTAAAATATTTAGGAGAATCCTACCAAATTCACCCCATCTATCACTTGACATGCTATCACATACAGTTACCAAAAAGAAAGGAGAATATGAAGGAAATCCATGAAACTCTTTTACAACTTACTTTCAGTGTCTTATCCCATGAGCCAGTCATCATACATGAATATGTTGGGGCTTTGATCCAGTGTACTGTCTTGACAGGAGCTTCATGCTGAGCAACCTGGACCTTTTGGTTACTGCCAAGGTCCCAGCAATTGACTGTTTTATCTGCACTTGCCATGAAAACCTGGAAATTAGATAAAACTTGTCTGCAGCATTTGTTGCACTGGAAAACTAAAAACTGATATCAAAGAACTAAATGAATTATATAAAAAAATTATATATAGAATAAGCCTTATATTCCTTTCCTACAAAACCATCTCATGGCCCATCTTCCAATGATAAATAATTTTCTTATATTTTCTACATAAAATTGTTCACAATACAACACTTTTTATCTTTTTATTTTATTATTATTATTTTTTTTATAATAATAATATATTTGATATTATAAAGCAAAGCTACTTTTTCATTAAGAAGAGAAAAGAATAATCTAAAAAATCACTACCATTACCAACATGACATGACTATTACAAATCTTTAGTAATCACTGTTTTGTTAAATTTCATTTATTATTCAGTGCTAGTGTGTCTTCCATTCTTCTATTTCCCTACTTGATGTATGTCAGTAAAGAACCTGTCACATTTCTGTGGATCCTAATTCCTTATGAGTTGTGCATTGACATTTCTTTCATATGCAGTCGTATGCAAAATACGTACCTCATATGTATCTCAATTATTATGTGTAAGTTTTATGTACACCGGTATGCGCACAGTACAGCCCAGTATGCTTGATAGTTTTGTGCATGCACAAATCTATGCTGCATACACTGTTACACAGGTCACAACTTATAAAATACATAGTGCATTGCTCCTGCATCAGTCAAGTATGGTATAAGTGTGCTATGTGTTCGTGTGGGATAAGCGGTTCATATATAGTAGTACACTGATCTCCTGGCTCAAGCGTATATTGGACATATACATAACATACTTGCATCACAGATACAACGCATGCTGAACAAATTCATAGTGAATGCTGACATATTGCAAGAATTAGTACCATTTGTCCTGTAGTTGGGCAGCACACTGTAATTATTTATAACTTATGACAAATGCACAGATTCCAAGGTGAGCCTTGCCATCTTCAGGAGGTCTTCCTGAAGATGGCAGATCCAGGCTGGTACTAGTGAGATCACATGATTGCTATCATTCAATATCAGTATGACATCATGAATCTGCAGCTTGAAGTAGCCACCTTTTTAATAAACTAAGAATTTGCTTAGAATATGCTTGGCATTCATTGGAAGTGTGTCAGCCATACGGTCGGCATGAGTTGGGTGTCTGGAATCCACTCTGCATGTGTACTGCATACACAGCTATTTGCAACAAGAAAAATAGTATTGCACACTGCACAAGCAATGGCTGCTTTGATTGGATTACTCATATCTTAGATGTCCATCAAACATAAGTCAAGGTAATTAAAAGATTTCAAAATTTTGAGTGTACGGCTGCATATTGAATTTTCCTTATAAGGAACTCGTAAGGACTTAATATATGCTAAAGGTGACAGGGACTTAATCAAAATGTAAGTTTCATATAGTTTCACACCTTCAAGGTGTGCACTCCTTGCGAGTCAGACCAAAGTAATTTCAGTAATGTGAAACTTAAACAAATTCAGTCAGGTTTCTATAAGAACAGAGTCATAGGTATATATAATGCTATAGTAGTTGTGGAAAGAATGTAGACATCACTATACAATTAAGCAATAGCTGCAACATATGCAATTTCTGGTGACTGCTTACAAAGTGAAAAAACTACAGGTAACTGGAATTATATAGTATATGGATGCAGTTCCATGATTAAATGTCTGATATTAGCCCTATTAAATTCTTGTTCTATGAACAATTATAAAAACTGATTTTTGCTGACAAATTATAAACCCTCTAGGTCCCCCAAGATTTCTAAAAAGTGATACAGATGGCATGTATAACTTATGAACACAATAACTGAATTGACTCATTCAATAAATCATAACCCATTTAACCATTAAATCTGGTAAAAATAAACTGGTGTCTAGGCTTACCTTACTTCCATCATCATGCCAAGCAACATCTAATACTGGGCCACCCATTGTCTGCTGTGCTTTACCAACTGTTTTTCCATCTCTTTGAACTTCCCAGCATCTGACCTG